CTTCTGCTGACCTTTCTTTATTTCTCTCTTTCCTCCTTAGACACACACACACACACGGACAGCTCGGTATTCCTAAGAAATATACAAACCATAGAAAGACCATTAGACACACACACACACACACACACACACACACACAGCTCGGTATTCCTAAGAAATATACAAACCATAGAAAGACCATTAGACACACACACACACACACGGACAGCTCGGTATTCCTAAGAAATATACAAACCATAGAAAGACCATAAGAGAGAAGGCTAATAATCATTATTTTTAAGCTCATTAGAATCCTGGATATAAGAGAATTTTCAGTGCAACTGAAAACAGATGAGCCCACCAGGCTGCATTAAGGAGAAAAAAAAAAGAAGAAGAAAAGAAAAAAAAAAAAAAACCACCAAAAAACAAGCTCTCTGTGTTGCTCCACCTTTGACATAAAAAGCCTGTCTCACAAGGAATCACCTAATGGTTATAGTCATTTTAGTGCTCAGATTTACGGAGCAATCCTGGCAATCATGTCCAGAGGGGAGAAGTGCTCAGGAGTGAGGCCGCTGTTAGACTGCTGTGGCTTTCAAGTTGTTATAATCAATTTGAGCCCAGCGAATAATATCTCAAGTGCTAGGAAAAGAGAAGAGGCTTATTGTTTTTTCTTTTTTAATTATTTTTCCCTGTCTTTGGCCAATAGATTGAAAAATGGAATACCAAGTAAAAGCTAGTTCAGATTCTGGAATACCCGTGTCTTCGGAAGCCAGTGAAATTGTGTTTTATTAGACACAGAAAGTACTGTAATCATGCAGTTTGCTGCCACAAATGTGCCATTAGCTGGGCACTCAGTATCACTCCTGAATTTGAAGAATTAGATGCTCACTATTTATGTCATATTTAAAAGAGCACTTTATGATAAAGCACACTTCACTCTACAATGCAAAAAAAAAAAAAGAAGTCATTCTTTGGAGTCACACAGTCTTAGTATAAAAACTGTGCCTGCCAGATTCCCTCTCTCCACGAGCAGGAATTTAACCCATCTGAGCTTTAGTTTCTTCCTAAGTAAAATGGAGACAATATCCATCATTGTCTTACTGAATAATTAAATAAAATGTGCCATTTAACGAAGTGCCTGAAAAACATGCCTTCTTTCAAATAACTGTTTCAGATTATTGGATGTAAGACACGTTGATCTGGTTGTTGGTGTAAACCTGAAATAACTGAATGAGTAACTAACCACCAACCACAGAAACAAGCTGCCAAAAACGTATTGAGAGGATACTTCAGACGTACGCACCTGTTTAGTATTTTAACCCCCCATGCGGTTTTCTGGAGAGCTAGACTGAGCCACCTGATCGTGCTGAGACAGTAAGGCTTGGAGGGCCTTCCTTTGTCCTTCTGTACCTTCCCATCCTAACATCAGTCTTCTGGACTGTATCACTTGGTTGGTGAAAAAAGGAAATCTCAAGGAGAAGCATATTTAGGAAAAATAAAGAAAAAGAAAGAAAAGGAGGATTGGCAGGTCAAACATGAATGAATGTACTGACTTCCATAGCCAAGCTCATTTAAATGGAGATCAAAACAGGAAGATAAAGAAGAGGAGGAAAGGGTCTGTTGAGAGAGAAGTGAAGAGGAAAACAGCAGGCTTGGCCCTATCACTGCAGCCCAGGAAATGCCACACTCTTGAATCTGACCCATCCTCCGGACAGGAAGGGTGTCTTGAGCTCTCCATCATGACCAGACACCTTAGGATATGGAGTTGGCTGTGCTAATTGTTTACACTCCTATCTGAAATGCCCTCCATTAACTGAGGCACCTTAATCTTTTCATGTCCAAAAGAGAACTCACTCTTTAACCTGGTAGAAAGCCCGTTCTCAGCTTCTCCCTGTCCTAGTAAATGAATCAATTATTCCCCTAATTCTCCACGTCATCTTATCTTCTTCTCTCTTCTCAGCCAAATCAGATATCCAATTGTTCTCCAATCTATATTTTAAATATTTATTAAGACAAATGTCAACTACACAAAAGTAATACACATATATACTATAATATTAATGTAAAAATATAAAAATCTTCATGTAGCCATGAATTTCCAGAATTTTCAATTCACAGCTAATCCAGTTTAATCCCGCCCATCCACTTTCCTTTCTCTTCCCAGAACACCGGCCTTCAACACCTAAATAATTCTCAAATACCGCTTTCCTCCTTTTTCTTGACTCTACCTTTGCTAGTTGTTCAAACCTTATAGGATTCTGTAAGATCTACCTAGATTTTAGGTGGCTTTCCTTATATTTCAAAACTTAAATCCAATCAGAATTCTCCACTATGTGAAACTATCGATGGCTAATCTTTGCCCACCAAATACAATTTCAAATTCTTAACCAGTGTTATCTCGGTGTGAGCTGTGCTTGCCTGGGTGTGTTCTTGTCCTTCTACAGCCTCTACTCCGTATCCAGGGTTCAACAGTATAATTCTCCTCTAACTGCTGCTGCTCCTGCTGGGCTTGGAGTAAACTTTTTCTTTTGTCTAATGGATTTTGAGACCCCCCCCCCAATTATTGTCTACACTCTTACACTTCTGCTCCTGGATTGAAGCGTTACTTCCTCTTCTAACCCTTCCCTGGGAATGATCTTCACTCTTTTGTTCTGGAAAAGACCGGAGGAAGCCATTGCCTTCTCTGAGTTACCACCGCACTGTTAAATAACACTTGTATTTGTTACACACACCACGACCTCATAATCTCGGTCTCTACACCTCCGGCGGCCCTGGATGCCTTTAAGTTTGAAGCTGTGTGTGCGCCTTTGTTCTTCCCACTCTCCCCTCTCTGTTAGAGTTGAGCCAAGAAGAAGTTTTGGGGGAAAGAATGCCAAATAATTCTCTTTATTGAGTTTTGGAGAACATTTAAACATTCATCTCCAATGCAACTGTATTATGATAAATATTTCAAAAGATATCTCAATCTAAATACTCATTTCATATTGCACCAAGAAGGATTAAATGTAGAATTACAGGGCATAGAGAATATAACTGATCAATGGATGGGAATGTTAGAAATCAGAGCACAAAAGAAGCAGGCTTTTATTTTTCTTATTATACCCGTCCAAAGGAACTTTCTCCTTGAAGGTTAATTATTATGAAGTTGGAGGCTGGAACGTTTAAGACTATTTAAATAATTCATGTTTATATATTACTTTACAAAAATAATTTCTTTGCCCATCTCCACTATATTGAGGGAAGAGAGGAGGTTACTTTCAGATAAGTGGTATTTGACTGAACAAGATTCGAGTTGGACCGTTAGGGAATTTGTCCATATTATGTACCCAGTCCAAGAGATGGAGAGATAGATTAGGAAATATTTTTCTTTCCAAATTCTTGATAAGAAAGCTGAAAAGTCATGTGCTCAAAACTTTGCAACAGGGAGAGAAAAATACCAGTCTTTCAGTTTTTTCCTACCTGTTAATATTCCCCAATATTAGTAAAAATAGGTTGGAGTTAAATAACATATTGGCATGATAATTTATTTTTAGAAACACAGTCAGGTAGGTGATATGAAGCACTTCATTTTCTTGGACTCTGACCAGTGCCTCAGACCTTGTGGTCCTTTTTCTCTGTATTTTTGCATATCATTTTTGCAGCGATAGCCCACGAGGGATACAATCCTCATTGTCCTCTCTATTACCAATAACTGATCTCAGAGCACAGTTTCTTTTAAAGTTTAATATAAACTTCTCCCAGTATGCTGGGAAGGGAGTCAAATATTGAGATAAAAATGAAAACTTTTATTTTAATAAAAACTCAATTATATGCTTCTGTGTTAACTTGCCTTTAGAATGTGAACTCTGACAGCGGGGCATAGATCCTGACTTTTGATTAATTTTTACTTATTTCCCAATATAGCAATACTTCCATTTGGGAACTAGGAAGCTCCATAAATATTTGAGTAACCGGATGATTGAATCAGACCCAAAGTGGGTAAAATATTTTTCTTTCACTTGATTTAGGGGCCTGTGTTCAATTTGTGAGCCCCTTCAGTTAATTTTAAGACTTTGGTTTAATTTCTTTTCTATGCATGCACGGATATAAATGCCTGCTTTCTGAGTATATGTGTATATATACATATAGAGTCACAAAATACATACTATAGATAAGTTAATTAAATATATACATGTTAATACAGGTGTAACTCATCAGCATTTTGGATGTGACTATTCACAATTTATCTTACATAATGTCATATTTTCACCGACTTTCCCACTCTAATCCAGTATGGCTCAAATTTAACTTGATTACATATGCAAAAGTTCTATTTCCAAATACCATCACCTTCATAGACACTGTAGGTTTAGGACTTTAAAGATAACTTTTTGAGAGACACAATTCAGCGCACAACTGGGTCTCAGGTCACTAGAAAATATTCTTCGACAGCCCATCATGATCACATGTGAAAAGCACAGGTTTTCTAAATCATTTATTTAACAGACTCTATAAATTTGCCTGCTGATTTTTAAAAAGGTTTTATGAACTATTATTTCTCCCGGTAAGTTATGTAAGGGTAAAAGACCGTGTTATATTTCTCTTTTAATAGTTTTGTATTGTGTAATCTTCTATAGAATAAAATAATGACATAGTTATGAGTAAATGCATCAATTGATAAAGGAAGAAATTCCAAAATTAGCATGGCAAAATTTGTCTATCCAAGAAGGGATGAAAATAACTAGTAAATGATAACAGCACGTCGATTTGTAACTCTGATTTTTCACTTTTAACTGATGATGTGCTTTTGACTATTCACGAAAAGCATTAATAAGCTCACAAATATATAAGAGAGACATTGATATAATTAATTACGTATAATTTTTTTAATCACAATGTGGATTTAATAGTTTTTTTAGGACTTTAAAAGTAAGAGATCCTATTTTGCTTTGCAGTTAGAAAAAATGTTTCA